GTAGAAGAAACGAGAATGTCGAGTTGTGATCTGTTTCATTCAAAGCGAGTCTAGAAGAGACTAACACCTCGTTTTCGGTTGTTAAGGAGCAACAATGTGATAATAAAGGGACGTAAAATATATTCCTACACCATGTTTTGGACACTTTTCTAATTTTCTCATGATTATAAGGCCAAATTTTGCTCCAAAAGCTTGCTAGGCATCGAGCTACCTCACTACGATGCAAAGTCCTACATTGAACTTCAAAACTTTACCCATAGCCATGAGTGTGTCAACTCTACCCACCATGGAAACTTTACATACTCATCAATAATTGGCCATTATCCATGAGCAGGCCTCATAAAATTAGTCAAATAACTATTTTAACTAAATTTCCGTAATTAAGTCATTTTTTCAAAATGAAATTAGTCAAAATAGTCATTTCACCTAAAAGTGGCTTATTTTTTATTGAAATCACATAAAACACTCAAAATATGATTAGTTTGGAGGAGTAATCACTTTTGATGCAACATTTGACGGCAATGGAGAATGCCGTCCAGTGAAAAATCGATCAAAGAACGACAAAAATTGTACTTCTCCCATTTAAGAACGGAAAAATTGAACTCAATAGAAGCGGTATTTGGAAATATTGTGTCAGGGCCGCCCGCAAATGAACAAAGGTCCGGAAATTCAGAAGCGATGACTTCAATGCTCCACGTTTCGTCAAAATTTGGTGTTACAAAGTCACAGGAACAAGATTAACAGAGACTTGAACCGAGGTTGTTTCTCACACCGTAATTTCAATGCGCGCTGTTGAGAGCAAATTTCCTCAATTCTTTTGTTGTTCCAGATGATTGAAATCCGAGCGTGCTGCTGTTCAAAGGATTCAATCAATTCTCTGGGTCGCATTTCTACAAATTCCAGAGGAAGAATGGGCAAAGTCTTGTTCACAGAGCCGCAATTGAATTCATTGCGCTCAGCTCGGACGTCTTGCAGACCAACGATCAGAGTGCTGAACATTTCAACAACGTTTCCAAGAATCTTATCGCTTTCTTCTTGCTATAATACCCTCATGAAGTGAAAGACAAACAGGTCTTGGTCGGTCACAAATCTGTTGAGTTCATGTTTCAAATAGCTAAAGCCATTGCATTGAATTACGTATTCAACAGGATCAGCCTGAGGATCCACCTCTACCACCTATTCAACAAACGCAAGCTTGCGGATTTGCTTGAAACATTCTTCGATCTTGAACGACTGTTTGACTAAAAGGGCATGTTTTCCCTGCAGGCGTTGACGTATCCCGCAATAACATTGATTGCAGCTAGATATATCCAAAAGAAAGGCGACGGTTCGCTTTTACGTCGTTTTGAGCTAAGCTCTTGATAATGCTCCAGAAATTTCACATGATGTTCAAGAAGATAAGATGGAACATGAGATATCGAAACCTAACAGTTTCTAGAGAGCACCAAGCAAGTCGATTTCAGTAAGTTAATCAATGTCTTTTGTCGACGTAGATGCGAAACCATACCGGTTAATACTCGATAAAATTGGCCATTATCAACTTTACAGAAGAGCTTTTGTATCACAAGATCAATCTAGTGCAGAGCACATCAAAAGCAGACAAATCCGGATAGCTCGACGTTCGCAAAATTAATAATCAGCCCAGAAATATGGCCTGTCATGTTTGCAGCACCATGTGTTGAACATGCAATAAGCTTAGACTTCCAGTTAATGCACAAAGCATTGAAAATCGTTTTAATCACGTTGAACATTGCAGAACCAGTATGGCTTCTAGAAAACGGAATTGCAATAAGATGGTAATTCAAAAATTTGCCGTTGGAGTAAAGCCAAACGCAAATGTCAATGTAAGAGGTACTTTGACAACCCGATCCATCAATTGCAATTGCAAAGGCCCAAGCTTCATACATCAATTGCAAAATATTTTGGAAAGCAACGGCACAACCCACGCGAACTTACTTCACCACGATCAAGTCATTGCAATTGCCGAGTTGGACACAACTGGTCACCATTTTTGCATCTTGAATTGCAAATGTTGCGTGACAAAACAAAAGTCCTCTTCCCACAATAAGTGTGGCCAGCTGGTATTGTTTCACCTTCTTCACTACGACCTTTTACTTGCCGTAGACTTCGTTGAGACGAATGATCGCTATCAACATAGTCTGGATTCCACAATATTCCTCCGATAATAATGTCAACAATAGCTTTGTCGAAGATGAAGGTCAACTGTTTGGATTGGTTGTCCAAGTAAAAAGTAATTGTTTCTGCTACATTGACAGTGACATCAAAGAAATCTTTTTTCTCAGCATCTATAAAGTACTAGTATTGAGTCCATTTCTGGGCATGCTGAGAGTCGAGATGATTCCAATAATTCTGTGTACAAAACGGTGAGTTGAAAATCTAGAAAGACTGTGATACTTTCTTCTCGCGACCAAATGCAACATAGAAACGGCAACGAACTCCTAAAACAACGCCTCTTGGATCATGATTGCAAGGTTTTACGTCATACATTAGCTCATGCTTTGGTTGGAACGGCGTCGTAACGAAACCGAAACTCTTCTGCTTTTTGAAAGGAGTCTCAGCTGGCATGGGAACAGATGCTAGGAGCGATAGAAAATGGATAGAGGAAGACTGCATGAACGGACTCCACGCAGTCTGCAGCTTGCAAAAATCGTCAAAAGCTACCAAGGAAAAATTTCCAAAGATTAGTAATTTGTTCAAAGTGAAATTAGACAAATTAGTTATCTATTTATAGATTAAATATTATTTTTTAGGTCTGCCCATGAGTCCATGCCCAACTTATACCCATGAATACATCTTTGATAATGCACTCATGGGTATGAATGTATCACCCAAATAAAATCATTTAATAGCACTTAAAGTGTTTTTAAGAAGAATGATTCGCTTATGATTTATTTTAAACAATTATAAACACATGATCAGATGATAGTCCTACAATCCGTATATATTGTTACTATATGCAAGTGAGCTCTTCAAATGCGTGACATGGCAATTGTCCATATAGAATGTCTCATGAATTTTGAGTGTAACCTGTCGATTCTCTCCATTTGTTGGCTCATAAAGAGTTTCAAAAGAATTTTTTTATGGAGATGTACATCATAGTAATACAATGGGTACCCAATACCCACCCGTGCATACTAACCCTTACCCATTATCCATCCATTTAACCATGGGTATTGGATACCCATTGCATTGGAATTATTTTGATTAATTTTGTAATCTCAAATTAGCTATAAATGAACATTGTCAATCTTAGCCGTTGTTACCATAACTGGGACATATGTATAGCTTACTTTACTTTAATTTTATTCTCACCGATGATTTCACATGCCAAAGAATACTCAAATTTATTTTTACGAGAGAGTAGAGTACATATATTTTTTCTTTTCTATCAATCACGATTCTATAAAAAATTCCTTTATCAAATGAGCATTTGCCTTACCAATATTTGAAATTGGTAAGTGACCGGAAGAGTGATTTTTGTGTGTGTTTATGGTAGAGATTTCACCATTCAAAGGGTTAAGACTTTCCAAATTTTCCTTTACCATGTACATTAAATGTTAGTTTGATTCATACTTGTGTGAGGAAGCGATTGCGGGAAGATAGAAATTGCAATTGATCTTATGATATATAATATGTTATCAGGGCGTAGTTACAGTTAGGTTTGTCTGTTTATAACCCATCAATTCTTTAGTTGCCGAGTCCAGTGGAGCACAATCTCTTTCACAAAAAAAGACGAGGTACAACTTGTGGGCTACACTTTCTCATGCTAGCAATGTGTATTCTAATGATCGAAAAGCAACATTGTAATAAGATCAAAATATCTCTAGTTGGCGGTGAGGTCAACTTTGAGCTTATTTTTGCTTCTCCATATGATATGATTTCATTTATGTTGTTTGTTTTGTTGGGTTTTAGCATCTTAGCCTAACATAACAAAAAAAACGTGACTGAGGAATACGATATCTTACAAGTTTCTTCTAATATTGTTGGGTTGGTCATTTCCGCGTTTCAGATTTCAATAAATATGGTATACACATATAAGTTATTAATGATGCAATCAAATATTTCTGGTGTTTGCAATTACACGTGAGATAATTTTGTGACATTAGAGAGCATTTGTCTGCATGTACTCGACTTGCATTAAAGCGAACATACACACTTATACACATGGTAAATATACTAGACATAATTTGAGAAGTCAAAACGACTAATCTACATGAATAATTCATATCCAAGAGAAAAGACAACTCAGAAAGTAATCAAGTACAGATGTAAAAATCGTCATTATCCGACTTCACCCTAAACCCTAAACATCCCCCCTAGCCTCCAGAGCTAGTCGGGATTTATGAATCCCGACTTTACATGCTTTGTGTGGGAGAGTGTAAAAACGAATGATGTATTAAATCACATGGAGTGATCATAATTCTAATTCTTTAAGTTCTCACGAGTGTAACAACAGGAAATGAACAACGTTGAACAAGAATTCATGGACTATTCAAGTTGTCTGAAATTAAAATGTAATGGAGTAGATGTAGTATCACATAATTTAAAGACATGTTATTGGGGTCTACTCCACGTGACGTATTCCTGATCAAGTATGCCCATCCTTTATTCTATATTAGCTGGTGCCACCTTTCTTATTATTGTAAAAAAAGGAACTGTTTATTTCTCTGCCATCTAAGCAAATTAAGTAGTATACATTATCTCACTTCAAAGAGGACTGAATAAATTACCAGAGCAGCCATAATATTTCGAGATCGGGATATAATGGTTTGAATAAATCGTTTGGCTGACACTTGACTGGAGACTTGCCCACTGTCTCTGGCAATTAATGCTGAGAACCGAAATCGAGTCAAGATGCGGGAAAAATTCAGGCTGGAGAGGCGGGACCGATCAAGCTTGAATCAAGGCAGCCGTCATTCATGTCATGAAGCTTTGCGTAATGTGGCGAAGTTTCTTGTGAAGAGCTCTGTTGGAAGTGTGGAGGCGTGTAGAGGTGCGGACGTGAGCGTCTGGAGGTTTGCATCACAAGATCCGCCGTAATTTGTTCAGCAGGTTCCGTTCGTAGCTTGGTGTGTGGTGCGCACGAGGACGAGGAGAAAGACAAGTTTTGGGAAGCGCTGCAGAAGGAGTCGTTTTATATTCGAAGTGAGCCTTTTCCAGGGGTTTGATTGATGCTCGAAGTTGGCATGCTGGTGGCGTAATCAAAATATTCTTGGATCCTCGTTGCGAGACCTTTGGACATATTATACTCCGAGAGGTGCAAACCTACCGCCACCACCACGAGAACACGTAAAACGCGACTGTTCTACGATGGTCAAGGTTTGCATTTTATCCACAAGATTGATCTTTTCCAATTTTGTTTAACTTGGTAAAAAATGTTATTTTTTTCGATCTGGTTGCAAGGAGACTCCAAAGTCCGTTCTTCTCTCATTTGAAGATGTTTCTAAATGTCCCCAGCTTGTGATATTATTCACAACCGCATTCTCTCTTCAAGCCAAACCTCAAGCCTTGAAGTAGAACTAGAAAGGTAGAAGTAGAGTTCCAAATACGACAAGCCTTTCAAAATGCCTTACGATGTTTGTAACATAGGTGAAATATAGTCTGCCAACCTTGTTTCCAAATGTGTTGTCCCTTTCAGTTAGTTGGTCACTGATTGTTCTTCCCTTCTGTCATGTCATTCAACGCAGACCTTTATCCGTCTCTCGGGGTTAGACTGTAAAAGCTTTTTGGATGATGAGGGAAAGCCATTGACGGAATTCATCATATAGTCCAAAACCTAGGTGCAGTTTATGCTGCCATACCAAAAATGTTATTAACAAACTTTACCAGTTGTCGAGTATGCAAAGGAAATATTCGGCTGCGTAATAGAAGATAAAACTTTGCTCCCAAAGATGCAGTCTAGAGCACTGTTTGAATGATTGGAGGCCTGCAAGACAAAGGTTTCTGCACATAACATACATATATTTATGTTTTGAAAGAAGCTCCGAGAGAAACTTGATATCGACATCTGATTTCTCCTTTCATGGTGAACGAAACACACCGTGGATGTGAGACGAGGCGACATCGAGGGCTTGTACAAACAAGACATTGCACAAAGTAATACAGTCCTATTAGAATTGAGTCTTGAATCCTTCTCTTCCTCTTGTCGCACCTCTACTCGCTTCGCGCCTTTTTCACAGGAGAGCCTACGAGTGAACCTAGAGATCTTTTTCATCGGCAGAACACTCCGTTGCTGCTGCTGACTTGGCAAATTGCACACACTGTACTACGGTTGTTGTTCGTTGGTGCTATTTTGTCCTTATGTCGCGAAGGAAGATTCTGTTGCAAGAGAGGGATCTGCTTTGAAAAATTAGCAAACTCTTGATGTGCGGGATGTGAACGGGGTTTTGCAGCAAAACCCTAGCTCCCCAGGGTTTTGATTGGAACTCTGCTCTCTCACCACCAAATTGCGTTTGTTTATCAATTTTCAAACTGTGGAAATGTCGATGACCAACAAGAGTTCCATACAGAGCTGTGCGGAGTTTGGCAGCTCGGTCCTGTTGGACATCAATGATGGTGACAGAATGACGTTTGCCCGTCTTCACAGCACATCGTGAGTACAAACGCAGTGATAAATTTGGAACCTCAGATTTCTCTTCTCATTATTTCGGCTCAGCAGTTTAGCATATTGACCTCGTTGTATCCTGGACAGACCATAATATTTGGAAAGTATTTGAATTTTTTGACTTCGCTTTGACTGTAGTTCGATAGACAAAGCCCCGCTGCAGCTCGTGTTTTACGGCATCAACGACTCAACTTTTAAGCTGCCCAGCAGTCATTGGCAGTTTTCATAATTCGCAGCTCAGCGGGTGGATTGATTTCTCTCCGTATTCTGCAGGACACTGAAAATCGGCAATACCAAATGTACCCTCGAAGCATTAGTCGGACAGCCCTTTGGAGCTGTTTTCGAGATGCAGAGTGAACGGAATAGCTCCAAACTTGTTCGAATGCCCAATGTCTCAGGCAAGTGATACCTCTTACGCACGAATTCCTTTCTAGACCAATATCATTGACTTGGATAACATTTTGCTGTCATTTGCTTCCAGTCAGGTTTTGAATATTGTGGCACGGGACTTCGTTTGAATGAGAATGCCAGATGTTTCCTTAGGAATTACGTTAGTTGATATCGTTGCAGCCAGAAAATGTCAAGAAGCTAGTGAATTATGCACCAACCTATGCCAATAGTAATCAGCATTCTGCAAGGTCTGACCTTGTAAACTGGATCACAGATGTGAATGGCAGGAATGAAAAGCGGCAGCAAATTGAGACAGATCAAGATTCTGAAGATGTGAAGGATAGAGACAACCGAGCCCTGGTGGACGATAATAAAGCGCAGACACTGTCGTCTGATGACATCGACCGTATGAAAAGGTTTTTCTTCGCCATTTACCTGCCCTTTTAGTGTTTTCTTAGTGCTGGATGTCCCATAATGTTAATGAGGAGAGATTTGGTTGCCAGTCAGTGACGTTCATCTTTACAATGATGGTATGCAGAGATGGTGCATCAGGGAAGGAAATCATTGATGCTCTTGTAGCCAACAGTGCATCCTTTGAAACTAAGACAGCTTTCTCACAGGTATGTTCAGATCTTTGTTGCATCTTCGTGTTCTTATCGTGGTTCTGTTAGTGAAAGGTAGGAAATAGATGTTTTGAACTCATCGAGGATGTATCATTGCACAGGAGAAGTACATGAAGAAAAAGCAGAAGAAATATGCGCCGCGAGTGCTTCTAAGGCGTCCATCTGCAAGGAGGTGCGTTATTGTGGTTGCTTTTTTTGTGGATCCCTTTAATTGCCGAAATGTTCGCACGCTAGTTCCGAAGCAGATAACTTGATCGAGTCGGTAGAAATACATTTGAAGGTGCTAATAATCTTCTGGATTTTCTGATTTGGGCCACTATTCAACTTGCATGTTCGTCGCAAGATTTTTCTCTTGTAGGGCTGTTGCCTTAGGTCATTGTGCAGTGGCCTCGTGATCGTCCTGAGCTACGATCCTCATGCCCCATGTGTGTAATTGATAGATGATTGAGCGCGAGCTACGTAAACTGTGATCTTTGACTTGAAAATATTTCGTTGAGCGCCTCGATCTACCTGTCTCCCGTGTGCAGTATTTGCGAGGCTTACTTCGTCAAGGATCCGCGAAAAATTGGGTAAGAAGCATTGTAAACCGCATACTTTCGAGCCAGCAGCTTTTGTGCCACTTGGAACTTCTGAGGATGCCCTTGTCACTTGCACGCTATGGATGGATATATCTCAACGCTGATGACGGAGAGGCTAATATGATTAACGAGCTTGGACGAGGAAAGCAGAGCTTATTTTTTTCCCGTTGTGTAGGTTTTGCCGTATGGACACGCTGGCCCTAATGATGTCTCTCGCAAATGTCGGACCCAATTCCGACATTCTTGTACTGGAATCACTTGGAGGACTTATAACAGCCGCCGTGACAGAACGATTAGGAGGTATTTGCGATGTTATAATTTGCGTAGCATGCCTTTGAAAGTCCGTCTTGGTGGCTCAAATCTACGTGTGCAGTCAAGTGCCGTCTATATTTTGTTATTTTGAGGTATTGGTCACAAGCTTTTGTGGACTGGTGACAGAACCAGCAAAAGCCTAGGGGTTTCATCAAATTTATTGGAGCTTTTTGAGCTTGAAATTGGGCCTGGACGGTGTGGAGCCTGGCAGGTCACGGTTCTATCTGCAGCACGTATTATACTACCAAACGTCCACCCATAGATATGGTGCGACTGCTAAATCTGGACGATGCCACTGCCTTAAGGTGAGTGCTTCCACCTCCTTATTACTCGTGCTCTTGCCAATGTGCCAGTTAGCTTCGTTCTTCTTGTTTCCTTGTTTGCAACGCAAACCTGTGCCACTCACATCTCCTTCGGTGATCGTGACCAGTGTGCTGCGCGCTCCTTTGGAGAAATTGGTCGCTGCTCGGCAGTCGGCATTGCGCTCGAAAGACCAGAATGGTGTTGGCGTTGCAGAGCGAGAGGCACTGGCCCAAGCTCTCAGCACCCTTGAAGAGCCAAAAAACAGCACCATTGGGCAAAATGCAACGGATGCTGTTGTGAACGACTCTCCAAGCATGGCTGTAGAAGCATTGTCAACGGAAACACCTGTTACGGAGAGTATGGATGTGGACAAGGAAACTACAAATATCATCTCCCCAGCCCAAAATACCACTGATGGTGTAGTAGAAGACTCTCAAATCAAGGACATGGAAGCGCCTTCAACTGAAATGTCCGTCAAGCAAAATATGGATCTGGACCAGAAAACATCTCACAGCCTTCCTGCAGAGGACAGAGAAGAGGATGCCTGTGAATTAGGAGACAAGGAGGCTAACCCAACAGCTGTTGGCGAAGGGAAGGCGAGCAAAGGTCCTCGACCCGGAAATGAAGCCACCAGTGCTGACATATTTAAGTGGGCAAATCAAGGCTTTTCAAGGTATCTTTCTGTCGTCAGTTTCCTCTTTCTGCATGACTTCATTCGCAATATAACCAAGTTGGACGAGTGTTTTTTATTGTTTCCTGCATAGCTTGTCGCAACAGGTTGGTAGCTTATGTTAAGACGTGTGATGGTTGTGTTGCAGCTTGCTGGTTGCTGCACCGGAACTAGATGCTTGGACAGTTGTCAAGCAGTTGATTCCTCTTCTTTCTTCTTCTTCGCCCTTCGTAATCTATTCACCGTATCAACAGGTAACAAACACTGGACCGATTGAATGATTAACAGATATTCTCGATATCGTTTATAAGTTCTGATTGACTTGGTGACTGGGGGAGGACATTCACCACCGCTTGTGCTTGTTGCAGCCGTTGGCAGAATGTATGTTTCAACTGCAAAAAAACAACATGGCCATTGCCTTACAGCTCACAGAGCCTTGGTGTCGGGAGTATCAGGTAGCATTCCTGTTCTTACTGGGCCTTTGTCTATGTTTACATCATCTGTTTTGCACAACTGTCTTCTGTCTTAAGCAGTCGTTTTATCGAGGAGCAGTGAGCTAATTCACTCAAGGTATACGTCATGGCAGGTGTTGCCCCTCAGATCGCATCCCCATATGCAGATGAGTGCCACCGGTGGCTTCACACTGAGTGGCATACGAATTACAAACTGTGTTTGAGATATATATTGACCAGGTTTGGTGCTCGTCTGAGGGCTACTCGCTCAAGTTCGACGTTCAAAAAGTGCCCGTGCCCGTGCCGCCTTGGCATACCACCAATGCTTTTGCCCAATATTATTTAGTGAGAAAGGGTTTCTACGTTTGAGTTGCCAAATCTAGTCAACTATACTATCTGATCACCAAGTTTATGCCCATTCGTTCAGATACACTGACATGAGAAGATAGAAATATCACCAGTGTCACATTCTTAGAGGGTCCTTCTCGACGACACTGCCTAGCGCAAGACGGCCCTGTCGGGCCAGCCTCGGCTAGCGAGATTAGTCATGTACAAGCAAGAATTGTCATATTGTAGTGCATTAGTGAAGATTGATAAACGGAACCATTTTTTGAAGTTGTTAGGTCCGGGAAATAGACACCTTCCTGGTTGTATCAATAAAGCACTCATGTAGCAAAGCATATGACGTCGGCTTTTGTCGTGGGTTGACTCTGTTGATTGTGGTCAACAGAGAGTCCGAGCTTCTATTTTTAACTTGATTCGCTGGGAAAACTGCCTCACAAAGTCATGGCGGAAGCTTTCGATCGAGTAGCACCAGTGAAGTTGCTTACACGGGGTACTGGAGTAGGAGCTGTCGTAGCGAATCTTGTAAAGTAGGCTCTCGAAGGAAGGGGCTATGTGATATTCTTTTATCGATTATAGGAATAAAGCCAAGGAGACTGAAACGAGTCATTTTGCTTCTACAGAAACCCAGCCATGGACTCCTCTTCGAAGCTAGATTTGAAAGCTTTTTTGCATATGAGGAGCCCTGTCGATTCTCGTGCCTTCTTTGCTTATTTGTGCAAAGAACGACATCTGACTCTTTGTTTCTGGGACCTAGGGAAGCCAATTCGGCCTACCGCTCCTCAAGAAGGTTGCGTTTTTGTCGCCCACTTTTATTCGAAAAGCTTTTCTATACGGACCATGCAGCAAGTGACTCCTATTTTCTGCCTTATTGCGCAAAGGACATCGTCGTCTACTTCAGCATGCCTAGGCTACGAGCTTACCGCGCAATGTCATCAGCGTGAGATTGGCAATCGCACGCTCACCGTCACCCCCGGGGAATCCGCCTTTCCATCCGAGTATGTTTGACCAGATTCCCCGCTCACAAGGATTATGTCGAAACCAGTCTCGCACAACAGTGAGTGAGAAACACGATGTCTGCATGCCTCTACGTCTGACGACCCGTCGACGAGCCATGGACATGTGAGAGCACTCGTCGTACTACAGAACGTTCCATGCAGGCCGAGCGAGGCGTAGCCTCATGTGCACAGCAGGGGGAGGAAGGAAGGAAGGAAGGACAATGCCACACCACAATGACTGATTACTTGACGGGGCAGACACTCATTGGGGAACCGTACTTCCCCCTTCCGCCAGACGTCACTCAAGGTATATCTGCTCCCTTGCCACAGCACGCTACGCATTTGCATTTCTGCGAATTCACTGCCTTGGATCCGCGGGGATGTTCCCTCAAATGCAATTCGGCCCCGGCCTCCCCGCTCATCTCAGCCGTACCAGCACCTCCTCCTCCTCCTCTTCCTCCTCTTCTATCATCATCATCATCATAATTTTCTTCCAGTCCCGAAGAAGCTCAATTGCTTCCTCTGTAGCGCGCACTTTGCCAATCTGGAGCCCACAAATACGCATCGAGATCAGGCTTTCCGGTTCGTTAAGTACCGGTGGGCTCACGAAGGTCCACAGCTCCAAACGAACGACCTCCAGCTCTGACGGCCTGACCTGTTATCCCGGATGCTGCAGCCCCGGGGCCTGGGCTCATGAGCCACGAAAGAGGGACATTGGCGTTTTGGCCTGGCACTTTATTACACTCGGTCCATTGTGTCCATTAAATTAGTCGATTCTAATGAGCTTCCCGGCGCCTGCAGCCGACTCTGACCCAGTCTTGTACGCATCTGCGATGGGAATACGGGCTCAGGTGCTTTCCGTGTATACTTGGTGCCTCAAGCAGCAGCATCATCGTCGTCATGCGCCGCAGAGCAGGATTCGTGACTCGCTTTTTCTGTCGTGAGGGCAATCCGCTAAGTGCAAGGAAACCTGCCCCCCGGAAAACTGTCGGCCCTCTATCAGCAACTGCTAAAACTCAGATGACGAAGGTCCATGAGCTGCTAAGAAATAAATAAGATTACAAAAATGTCGACGACATGCTGCGGCTCCTCATGTTCAGGCACTCGCTCCACTCTCACTCTCACTTTCCTCAGTCACGGTCAGATCAGCAGGAGAGCACTTTTGTTGCTTAGCCTCTTCGTCACGGAATCGCGCAGTTCCACAGGAGCAGAAATTCAGGAGCGGTCCCGAATCTTCAGGGGCCTTCTCGAGGGCCGGGGGAGGCAGAGGCAGGCCGGCCGGCGGTCGGTCCCTCATTTCTCTCCATGAGAGGGGGGAAGATAAAGTCCAGCAGCATTAGCAGCAGCAGCAGCCGCAGAAGTAGCAGAGGATCAGGAGCTGCAAAATCCTGATGACTCTGAGTCTCCTGGAGCTTGGAGGTCATGCAAAACGAGGACGGGCAGGCTCTGTATTGTCGATGTGATGGTCTGATGATCTGATGGCCGGCTGAGAATAATAATAAGAACGATGGAGGCGCAAGTGGCGGGCCGGATGAGCCCAGGATCCGCTCGAACGTAGCGGCTGGCTGAAATATAGGGCCCCTGCTGACGCTGTGCGAGGACGACGAGGCTGGGGAATATGCAAAGGGCAGAGGGCACCTCGCCATGCCTGTGGCGCACGCAGAATTTAGACCCGCCACGTCCCACCGAATCGGCAGCAGACACTTGTGCGTGCGAGGGGCGCTCATAAAGTGGACTCTCGCCGAATCCTCCTCCTGCTCCTGCTGATGCTGCTGCTGGTCCCGTCGCGCCATCATCCTCTCATCGATGCAGACGAAGACGAAGACGAATACGAAAGAATCTGAGCCGGGCCGATCGGCTCTACCCTTCCTCCTCCACTTCGTCCGGTTCTCGCCGCTGGCACTCGGTCCATCATCAGGACACACGTCGCTAGACAAGAACAAGATCCGCGAGAGCAGCAGAGCGCGAGCGAGCGAGATCGAGCTTGGAAAATCTGCACAAATTCCCCACGGGCTCGCGTTTCTTCTCCTCCTTCTTCTTCTTCATCTTCTCCGCATCCGAATTTAAGTTGTTGCTGCCGATGCCCGAAATGGGTGTGCGGTCGACTAGCATGGCGGTGGCTTCCGTCCTGTCCACGCCTGAGGCTGCGGCCGCTGATTTGCACCCGAGCACAGGGCCGATAATATTATATTAATGGAGTCCTGCGGCCACGGCTGGCAGACGAAGCACGGAAAGGGGAGAGGGCGAGGAGGCAGTGCAGGCGGAGAGATGGCGCTGGATCGGCAGAGGGGAGCTGCAGCCATTGCTATTGCTGCTGCGGGAGCCGGAGCCTGGTGAAGTGCAGGGGCCGGGGCAGTGGCTCGCGGTAGATCAGAGCAGGAAAGAGCAGAGCAGAGCAGAGGAGAGGAGAGGAGAGGGAGAGGAGAATAAGAGATCGGGTGGGGGGCATTGGCGGAGGCTGCAAGCCATGGATCCCCTGGACGAGGCGATCAAGCTGGTGGTGCTGCTGCGCGATGTGGAGGCGGTGTGCGAGAAGAAGCGCCACAGCGCGGAGGCGATGCGCGAGCTCGGGCTCTTCGTCGGGAGCCTGAAGCAGGCCTTCGAGTTCTTAGAGAGGCGAGAGATTCTTATTGACAATTTTGAGCCCCGGGGCCCCATGGATGCGTACTTTCTTAAGCAGTTCGAGTCGAGGCATTGTTTCCAGGATCTGCGATGCGCCTGCGATAGCCTCGTGCAGGTTCTTAAAGTGCCCCGCAGCCTCTGGAACATGGCCACCTTAATCCAGAGGCTCAGAAGCCTTCGCGTCAGCGTCGTCACATCCGTTCAGACCAACATGCACGTCGATGTAAGTCCTCCCGCCCCCGCCATTCCGATCGCAGTTCCATTCATTCCATTCCATGGCATTCCATTCGATTTTTACCATTCTATTGCATTCAATTCCATTCAATCCCGTTCAATTCTCCCGCAATTCGATTCAATCCAATCCCATTCAATTTCGTTCAGTTCGATGCAATTCGATGCATTTCCATTGGATTCCATTCTATGCCGTTCATTCATTCTTTGATCTGCGGGCGCAGCTGGCGAGCTACGAGGAGAGACGGCAAGAAGAGGAGGATGCGCAGAGGAAGCGCCAGGAGATGCCCAAGAATATTCTACAGGCGCAAGGGGCGCTCAAAGCCTTCCCGCATTCCGTCCGGCGCAACTTCAGCTCCTTCGGCGCAGGAAGCCACCCGCTCGCGCCCCCGGAGCTGCTTCTGCGCTCCCTTCCTGCGCCGGCGCAGACGAGCCGCGCGACGGAGCCCTCGGACGAGCCCGTCCTTGACCCGGAGCTGGACCTGAACCGGTACCTGGGGAGCGATCGGAACTGCGCGCTGCCGAAAAGAGACGCGTCGCCGGCGCGGCCGTCGGCGACGACGACGTCGTCCGATTCGTCGTTGTCCCCGATGACGGAGACGACAACGACGACGTCGTCCGATTCGTCGTTGTCCCCGACGGCGGAGACGACGACGGAGACGGAAGCCTTCTTTGCCGACGTAAGTAACGAGGCCCTGACGATGATGATGATGATGCTTTGGGGTCGCGCGCCCCGGAGAGTGGCGCGATCTGACGGGGTGGACTTCGGTGTGTGGGTGCAGGTGTTGGCGAACCTGGAGGCGTCGCAGGAGTCGCAGGCGCAGCAGCGGAGCAGGCCGACGGAGGACGAGATGGCGGAGTGGTTCGAGGACCCGATCACGGGCGAGATCATGAGCGACCCGATCAAGTGCACGGACGGGCGTACGTACGACCGCTGGACTATTATCGACCACCAGCTGGTCAAATGCCCCTACGACGCGAGCATGGTCGACTTCCGCATCGCCTTCGACGACATCGACATGCGGGCGCGACTCTTCCGCGCCTTCCCCGACAAGGAGCAGGCCTACCGCGCGCGACGCCTGGCGCACCGTCAGACGGCGCTCGACCACGTCCGCCGCGGCGAGCACCGTGACGCGCTCGCCAAGCTCAACCACGTCCTGCAGTGGAACGCGAACGACGAGGAGTGCAAGGCCCAGCGCGACCGCGTGATGCTCCTGCTCCTGCCCGCGCCCGACGCGCGCCAGCCCGCCTCCGCCTCCGGCGCGACCCCCGCGCCGGCCTCTTCCGGCGCGCGCTCCTCCTTGCGGAGGCGCATTCGCCGATGCTCCCTTATCGGCTGGCTCCTCCGGCTGCGCTCCCGATGACGTTAGACGGTGATTGAGGACTCGAGGGGAACTGCATTCATGGCAGCGCGATGAATCTGAATCGCATTGCGATGGCGCCGCCAGGAGGACGAGACGAAGTGGAGCGAGGCTTGAGCGAGTGGACTTGTTTTGACATTTACGGGATTCCTCGTGTGAGCCCTCTTGTACAAATTCAGAGCCCTGAGGAGTCCCTAGAGCGACGAGTGCTTCAGATGGAGAGCACGTCGTAGATAGCCAGCCTTAGAGATTGATTGGCCTCGCCGGCAGGGGTAGATGCTGCAGCATTCGAAGGGCGGACGAGGAGAAGAGGAGGAGGAGGATGAGGAGGAGGAAGAAGATTGGAGGAGAAGAGGAGGAGGTTGGATGGATGGGTAGGCATTGTTTTATAGAATGTAAATAAGTTCGAACATCCTTCCGGACAGTCAGCCAGTTCAGTTTCTTTCAGCTCAGTTCAGTTCAGCTCTGCTTAGCCCAGCCCAGCCCAGCCTAGGAAGCAGCTCGCTCGCGGGATGGTGAAGAGAAGCGCGAATTTTGGCTGCATGTCGACGGGGAACGCAGCAGCGCGCCAAGCGAGTGAGCGAGCGATCGATTGACTTCTGGTGGGAGTGAAAGACGACTGAGTAGGAGTAACTGCTGCGGCTGAGTTTTGATAGATTTGGGTCGTGATGATACCTTTGTACCGATGCTTGACTACATATGCTGCCCCAGGAAGAGAAGAAGATTTTGAGTTGCGACGGCAAGCCTTGAAAACAACAACGACAAAAACCAGGGATACCGAAAGAAAAAAAGCTTAAAAAAAAACAAAAACCTTCTGGAAAATGGTAGGATGTAGTACCATTGTCATCGCCATCCCACCGATGACGAGGGTGGTGGAGGCACGACAATTTTCTTCTCGACGGATGAGTATGTACATAGATAGTTAGACGGGTAGATGCATAGGTAGACAGCGACATGCGGTCGCTGTTTTTAACACTGAAATTGTTCGGAGGGCTAGAAAGTGGAGCGATGTTGATTACAATACCCAGATGGGAATTTTCTTGGCCTGGTTGTGTTCCGAGGCTCTCCCTTTCTTGACCACCTCGATGTGAAGACTAGCAGAACATAAGGTGAGCAGAGTGCCCGGCGGGAGCTGCAGAAGGAGAGGTGGTCAAGCACTGATGTGAAATTTATGAGTATGCGACCAAGGATGGATCTACTTTGCCGGTCCCCATGGAATCACATCGACAACGGGTCCTTACTATACTAATACTTTATATGAACTGGCGAAGACCCCAATCAATGGCTGGGGTATACCTGAGAGATAGAAGAGATTTCTGTGCGCAAGGAAGATACTTTAATCCTAGTTGAAGATGAAATTCATCTATCACGAGCGATTCAATTTGAACTGTCACATGTTCTAGGTGTTTGAATATATGTGCTAGTCTCAGAGTGACATATGGAAAGCGGTTAGAGTTCTGATCCATCTCCTCGTGGGTAGAGGAGTGGCTAGATCCTCGACTCCACGGAGCTGTCTGGTGGAGATGAGCTTATGTATTTTGCACCCAGAATTCTGTAGAAACTCCCTTCCTAGTCGTAAGATTGCCCATTGGGTTGTTCTCTTCGGAGAACGTAACAGCATCAACGAATCCACTCACGAACATAAAATTTTTATCATGTTTCCTCGGGTACTTGAATTTTCCGTAAACTGCGATCCTTCTACACGGGGGTGAATTTCACCAACGAAAGCTCTCTTGCTCTCTCTTGCACGCGATGCTTGAAAACAGCTACACGCGTCTATATATCAACGGAAGTTCTCTTTGTCGTATGTACATCTCACGATTTCCGAATTCAATGCCTGGACATCTTTCCATTAGCGCAAAATCGGCATTCAGGATGTTGAGATGTAACATACAAAATCTTGTTCTGGAGTATGTTTGCCTGCAACCGCTACATATATAGATGCGTACTCCACTCCCACTCACGACTCTGTGCCTATCCGCTGCTGATTTTGATTGTTCTATTTCGAGTTGAATCTCGACCTAGGCCTTGGATCTAGTGCTCCAAATCTTCGGTTCCTGATACGCACTTCTAACTATGGTCTCTGCGCTGTAGTCCACAGCGTGCGCTGGCCCGTAGCCAGCGGTGGAGATGGCGCTCTCTGTATGTAAGGAACTAGTGAGTCACGTTGATATTCTGTTTATTCTCAGGTACTGCTATGTGTCAAAATGCTAACATGTGACCTCCTAGGGTCTAACACTGGAGCCGTGGGCCAGTGAGGAGTTGCAGATCTTTGTGACCAGTCAACAAACTGGACAACACATTTTTGGCCTGATGTGGGTCCCAAGGTTGAAACAGTGTACTTGAAACCACGACCGAACCAGAATCTCAGCGTCATGCCGTGATAATCTGCATGCAATATAATTTACACGCCCTTGAGTTTATCATTCATCGGAAGTTTGTGACCGGCTTGAGCTGCACTTAAGCCTTCCAACACTTTCCTCCTTCCCTCTGTCTGCGACACTCTTGGCGGCGTTCAGGGCAGATGACCAGCTACCTCGGAAACGACATGAACTCTAAGGAAAGGATTGAAGGTGCTCACTCACATTCGGACTGAGTCTCCCGAATAGCTTCTGAAGACGAAATAATTGCGGCCTCGTGATAATGGTCAATCAATGCTTGTCCAGAGAACCGGAATCGAGTGACAGACAGTACAGGAGATGGGCTGAACTTCGAGGTGATGTCGTATGAGGTAACAACCTTCCGTCCGTCCTGGAAAACAAAGACAGGAATGAACTCCACGAAAGAAACAATCAAACTACATGTTCATATGGCCTTTGGCTTCTGGTACAGGCCTCGACAGATTCTCTATTGAGCTTCAATTTCACGACCATTCTGAAAGTGTACAAATTCTCACAGTTCGGAGGTATTAGATTCGAGATGCCGACAGGTACCGACACAGGCATTCCTTCATGATTTTAGTCTGAGGATTCCATTATAAGGTCGTGCAGAGTGTGATGTATGTATGCCCTGAGACAGATGTAGATAAGAGAGCGAGGCTGGTCAGAATACTTTGAGAGGATAGAAGAACCTCTTTGCGTGAACACGTGATCCATTTCGGACGTGGGCTGCTCCTGCTCCTGCTTCTGCTAATGTTAGAGAGCTCGATCCCTTCCAGCTGAAGGCACTGGATGAAGGCGGTCCGGAGTTGCGTGATCGACGATGAGAATCCACATTCGTCTCTCCGGTAGTGTCCAACACGTGACGTCTTCTGGCCGAGAGTCATTCATTCTTCGTGGGGCATGATGTGCATAAAAGTGCTCGATATGGTTTCCTCCTGGCCCGCTCGTCATAATCGAATGAAGCGTTTGTGTTTTCCATGTGAAATGGCCTCATCTCTGCGGTCCTTACTCGTCCGGGATGTGAGGAGGTCGAATCCAACTATGCATCTGCCTATCTTCTCGCGTTTGTCCAGGAATCCAGAGTTTTGGGTGTCAGCGAAGAGTCCAAGCTTGGAGTTCAATCCGTGCAACCTGACACGCATGATCTTCAGGAACTCGTCTGCCTGACATGGACCAGATACATTGCAAAGAGATCTGGCTTGCAAAGACGTGTGAAGGAGGGAGTTCTCATGGTTCTCAAATAGGAATCAGGACCCAGTCTTACAAAGTATCAATCCCTTTCTTGTAGTATGGGCAGCTCCTCTAGAGGTCAGTTAAGACGCTGCATATATCCCTGGCGCCTGTGGACATGGTCTTCGTGCTTGTGACCATGAAGTGGACGGGTCATAATTGAAACTTCTTCTTCTTCTCCCTACGAACTTTCCACCAGGAGTCGCAACTTTTACGACAATTTTGATAAGATACAGCATTCGACGTCTGGGACAGTCCTGTCTACCTTCTAGAGAACCCCATACATTCTAACACATTCACGAAGAAGAGTAACTCCCATGATTGTGAAACTCGTTCCTCATGAGGATTAAAAAAGAGGAACTCTCGCTCAGATCGAACTCTCAGAATATTATGCCAATCAATATTCTAGTCATTAATGAATTAAATTATGGACTTTTAGAGAGGATTTCACTTCAAGACTGTGAGAACGGTTTCAGATTAACATGCTCATTACACTTTGATGACAGAATGCTGTACAGAACTCTATAATACTCCCGAGTGAAGACCACTCGAGAGTATTGGCACTTCAAGGCACGTACAGCAAGGCGAATGAAACTGATTCCATTCCTGCGAGACGATGTGCTTAGAATACACTACTCGGACTACAAGATTTTGGTCTCTCGCCAGAGTGTAAGATGACGAAGAACCACCTCGAGGGTGTACAATATACAGATCAAGGAGTGCTCTGGGACAGTGGCCAACCTGCTATTTGGAAACGCTGCATTTAATTGCATATTCGATGACAGTAAGGTGAAGGTGTACAGAAAGCGAAGTCTTTTCAGCCCTGCTTCAGAATCTTTCTTTGGAGTGAGAACAATCGGTTATCTCATCGAGGAATCGGACATTACTCTCGCACTTTCATGTCACCTGACTCTTCTCCATCCTGCCTGACAGACTGTCTTCATTGTGGCTAGTTCGGCTGTTGATTACCAACTCTTCGTCTACCTTTTCTGGTGACACTTCGACCCCACATCTAGACCCTCATAGTCACAACTGCTTCGTACAGAGGTTGTAATTTGACGTCGAACTACAAGATCGCAACTAGATAGGATTATGCAACCATGCATTTTGAAATCAGCTGACTACAAGATCGACGTTTACATTTACTGATGACACTTCGACCTCACATCTCATCGTAGCTAACAATTCTTACCTAGGCTGCAATCTGAGGTCGTGTCACGAGATGGCATCTGTTCAGATTGGAAAACTTATTGTGCATCAAATTGCAAATTGCGGTTTGCTGGCTCGATCGTGTTGTAGAGTCGGATGCTTATTGCTTTTGGTTGTGGAGGGCCGCGCGAACGCGAGCCCTCCTCTGCCACAAATTATGACGTGCATTTTCCCCTCGGGGAAATGCTAGAACTGGCCCGACCTTGGTGCAATGGAGGAGCTGATTCTAGGTCATCGCCCTTCCGGATCAGCGATAGGCCCCGCCCAGGTAAGTATGCTTCTCCCTCTTCGGACATGGGATCTATTCCCCGTCGTGTCTCGCCAGAGACTCTTCACTCATGGGTTTAAAGGACATGCCTGACCCAGGGAGTGGCCGCAGAGGTGCTCCTCCTCCTCCACTCTGTCCAACAAGACAAGAAAGAGATAGACAGGGAGGGAGAGATCGACAGAGAGAGCACAGTCAGCTCAAGGACAAGTGCCAGAGAGGGTCTTGCGTAAAATATAATTGGTGCTGGTCTTGAAGTAGCAAAAATCGTTGGCTTGCATTCTCCCATACCGATATCTTCCCATCTCGGTTCGGTAATATTCGTATTTCGACAAGTTTTTTACTGTATATATGCCTTCTATTTCGAAAGCCATAACCCAGCAGCGCCACTGATTTTTCGAAATTGCTGAAACCTCTTTTCCAGTTTTTTGATCAACCAGGATTTCTGTGAAATTAACAGTATCTCTAAGACTTACAAATTTTCCGGGTGAACCTGTAAAAACTTCTGCTACAAAGAAAGGCTGTGATAAAAATCTTTCTATTTTATATGTACCGGTGATGCCTCCAAACGAGGCAATCGATCTCCGGCAGCTAAATCCTGGTCTCACTGTGGACTTGTCTCCAGAAACTATCTAAATAAAATTTATCTTATAATTAGACAATTGGTTTCTGGGGCTTGGTTTACAAATAAAAATCAACAAATATAAACTGGATCATCGTTATCAAAACTTTGAGAATGATCAAGCTGAGTAGACGGGTACATTCACCACAACTGCTGTGGGTTGTGACATGCCTGGTGACGGGGAGGACGAGAGGTCGGTGGTTCCGGCTCGCTGGTCAGTGCTTCACTTTCCTGAGTTTAGTACTTGTTAAATGTGTGGCTTTGCTTTGCTCGTGTCTGACTTGAAACCTAGATAGTTGGCGTAATAGGTGCTAGACATTATCATGCTCTGTATAGTATTTGGGACTAGCTCCACATTATCCATTTAGTTTTTAATTATTGTAGGATATGAGGGGATTTCACATCTATTACTACTTAAGTTCAATGATTTGGATGCTGATTTAAATGCTCCAAATCTCGTCACTGGTTCTTCCCAACCTTTTCTGAGGTAGCTGAGGTGCAGACTTCCTGCTGTGAAGGTCAGAATGCTACCACCGAGTAGCGAAACTGCTTTCATCAATCCGTGTAATTTATTAGATTTATCCGTTTACTGCAATTCATCTCAAACATTGTTTGGTTGTAGTAAGTTTCCTGGTAACATCATCTTCGATAGTCTTACGCTCTACTCAAAACCCGATTACAGCAATGTACATCAGTGTGCTTATATCATGTTGGCAGTAATTTTCTAGGTGATCTCGCGGGTCACATGCATCAGGTGGTGAAAAGAGGGTCACATTCGTTATTGTTCTACTAAATCCACACCCGCTCGTGCTCTCTCGCTACTGACTCGGCAGAAATTTCCAAATTTTAATGTTTATGACAGAAACGTTCTTCATGCACATAGAGAATGAATTCGGGAATGACGAGGAAACGTACAAAGTAATTCATGTACGAAACCAAATGGGGAGCCAGAGCATGAGGCTAGATTCCAACATTATCGTAGCTAGTTCAGAATGTACTATGCAGTATATATAGTCTATACTGCATCCGAAACAGTAGATTGGGGTGCAACATAATGCAAAGCATCCCGAGAAGTAGATTGATTGCGCAACGTGTCATTACAGAGCAATGCAACATGGACAGAGTAGTTGGGCTTTCGCACATGTGTCTAAAAAGTGTCGAGGACATTTATCAAAACGACGCGGTCAGCAATGGATGAAATCAAAACTGAAAGCAAAACTGCGGCGATCTTATTGTACTCCATGGTCAGAAAAAAACGCTCCGTCCTTTTGCAGTGGATGTGTATTCCACTGAATTTTCTCATGCAATTAAGTTGGCTGTCCACATCTTCGCGACGGTGCTTGAGTTGCACCACTATCTGCATTGATCGATTTTTTATTTTCTTCTTCTTCTCTTTTATGGTTCAGTTGCTCGATGGACACATGGGGCAATAATTCAACACAAGAAAATTATGCTAGGCTCTGAGGTTCTAGTCGGTTCGATGGTTTGATATTTTTCCACTATTTTTCATCTCTTCTGAGTATTTTGGCGCCGTATCTATTATTAAAAAATTCTAGCCTTTTCAAGGTTTAACGTTCGTTTTTCTCTTCCTTTTTAAGAGTTTGTTTCTTGAATCGAATATTGGTGGATATCGTATCTTGGAAGACGATAAAAAAACGGACTCTGATATAAATTACATTAAAAGGCATTTTCCATTTAGATACATGTGGAACTGACATGATGTTTTCCACGTTGCAATAATGTTAGCTGGGCGCCATGAGCATTACACTCTGATATGTAACACCTACCATTGGTGAGACATGTAACCCCTGCACTTTGAGCCATAAAGTGGCAGTGGAATTTAAGGTGGATAGAGAACACAAGTTCTCTATCCACCTTCAAATCCATTTGGGAACAAATCGATTAAGAATAATTATGGGTGCCAAAAACAGAGGGTTTGGATGGAGACTTTACCATTTCAATCTCAGACATTTTTCTTCTATGAGGCCGTTCTCTTAGAGAGAGAAGATTCTCTCTTGTTTTCTCCTTGTCATGGAGAGAAGTTGGAATCCCACATTTGAGATAACGAAAAACTTATGCTATTTTCCCGTGGTTTGAACTCAATTCGTGAGATTGTCTTCATGTAAATATTGTGCTGTTCATTTATTATCAAATTTGAAGAATCAGAATCGCAACACTCTGACTGATTATAAAACATTTTACTTGGAGTAGGATTCGAGGTTATTTTCTACTCAAGTACAATATACGTAGGGCTAGAAAGAGAATGTTTCTGACTCAATTTGTATCGAATTCATAGAAAGGACATCAAGAGAATAAAGCCCGAGAGATAATAAAATTTCAGATAAGAAAGAATTCCGGATTTTCAGAATCTGCTCGCTCCTCGTTCTCTCGAAGAGAAAACAGCTCCTGAAGGAAACAAGGTCGATCCACTTCTCTTCTCTTCTGGTCCATTCTTATCTGCTAACATGCCGAAATTTGTGGAAACTTGGCAAAGTTTTCATCTTTCTGTAGGTCATATCAAACCCCAAAATGCGTGTAGCAAAGGGCAATGATTTAGGCGCAATGATGTATACCCTAAAGGGCATACATCTTCATCTTCATGCATAACAGTCAACCACGAAGCGTATCGTAATATGTACCACTCTATGCCCATCATTTCTAGATCTTTATCTTTAGATCTAGAACTTATTGGATAGAGACCTATAACAAGGAAATTTAGCGCTGCATTCACCTTTGACAAGAAACAAGTTCTGATTGTCATGCTAAACATTTCATTTCTCATTCAACACTCCTAATCTAAACATAAAGATCTAGTAATGACGGGCATAGAGTGGTACATATTACGATACGCTTCGTGGTTGACTCTTATGCATGACGATGAATTTTTGACTGTTATGCATGTAGATGTAGTTGTATGCCCTTTAGGGTGTACATCATTGCCCCTAAATCACTGAATATTGTAGTCGAACCCATTTCAAGCCCCTTGCTTCAACCCTCGGGGGCTGATTTCCAATCATAGACCATTCAGACGGAAGTTTCTCAAGTAATCTTCTTGTATGAAGATTAGAAGGAATTCGCTTTACAGCGACAACATCTAATGCTGGAGGTTAGATTCCTGCAGATGGACTGACATACCGGGCTGAGTGCGAGTATATATATGTTTAATGAGGTATAAAAGATCTGATGTTATATCAAAGTTGATCCGTTGCCATGTTAATATATACAGTAATCAACATGGCAACGGCATTTAGTGAACATTAACTTTGGTCAAGAAGCACTAAAGAAAGTGAGTGTTCGCTGAATGCAGTACATATTTCCAAAACAATATATCAATTACTTGTATTTTACATGTGGAAATGCACCTAGAGAGTTGTGAACACAGGATGAGGTTAGTAGCAATATGCAAAAGTATTTTTCCCGGGCCTTGATCGAGGGTAAACATTATAACGCCTTCATATAGAGCCATGCAATCGAAAACAAACAAACAAGAATGGAGTCAGATCCCTGGCTGGAACATCCCTCGGGTTACCCTTGAGATAAACGCTCCACATCACACGCAGAACAACAAAGTCGAGATCACTCTGCGCAGGGGATCACCTCCAGTTGTGGTTCTCGAGTAAGAAGTCCATCGTAAGGTCGACTTGTTCACCCTTCGTGCAAACAGGAACGCGAAGCCCGCACAGTGATTACATAACTCGAGTGAGTTTGGACGATCCAGGACCGTCGAGCATGGGCAGCAGGCCACTGTTGTCAGTCATTCCTGTGGAGGGGGCCCCAAATATTTCACCTTCGTGAGGAAGTCTGTTTTCACATCGTTAAACGACGTTGTGCTTTAACTTGTAGTAGATGGTTGCAGAGTAGGTGAGGTTGGATTCAGATGACTTTTTTCTTAGAGCAGCGATATTACACTTAAAAAAACATTTATTCAAATAACATGTTTGCCTACTGAGATCTTATCGTGACCGCAAAAATTACGAAATTTCCAACTTTCAAGCTCTAGACTTGTTGCGTCACCAAATGTCACTCACAGGTGTCCAATACAAGTACTCATGATTAATTGAATATTATACTCCGAATCACTACAACGGGAAGCACTAACTAGTTGCAGATGTTATCAGAAGTATATTACAATGTCCCGAGCTTTACAAGGAGCTCGGCTCGTGAATTCAAGCAACTGGATAGATTGGATATGTAAAATGAGGTGAAGACCCTCGGGATTGCAGAAACGTACGGGCTAGCCACAATCGCATCACAAGAGAAAGTTGGGATTTCCCAATCTGGGAGAGCTTGACTTATCGTGTTCTGATAATTGTGGAGTCCACAGTTTGACCTAAGTGTGACTGGACCTCGGACATAATTGCAAAGCCCTGACCGACTAGACGCTGGCTCAGCTGCGCGAGATTCGAGGAACGGGAGGACCTCCTTGAAGCTTGAAGGACGCAGCTAGCTGGACCAAATCGTTGGAGCGTTCCCGCGACATGAGATTATCGTTGTCTGCACCGGCCGAGACCAGAGCCCCGGGACTGGCTGCGATCCCTCAGCAGCTCACCTCCTCCTTTGTCTGCAACGCGCAAGTAACTCTGATCGACACACGTACGGCATGCACTCGCGCCCATGGACATCCATGGACCGACCAACATTTCCCGGCTTATCATCCCGACGAGACCTCCTCCTCCGCCGGATACTGCTCTGTCCGAATGCACAATAATTGCAATCTGCAGCTTGATTACTTTTGCCAATTTTGAAGCTCGTCTGGTGCAGTCGTCGATGTGGAGATTAATCAAACATATCACATAAGAAGGTAATCTGCATTGTAGTTGGCATTTCCATCTGTCACCGAAATGCATCAATTAACGCACTCAAAACTGATCGAGCTGGTAAGCTCCATAGCCAAGAGTGAAAGTGAGTGTTCCTTAATGGCACGTCAAAGAATGTAAAGCTTGGGGGAACTGTAACATTTTGGTATCCCACAACAAGTCCTACTTTGGTCTGACACTTAGCTTTGGGAGGGTCCTCGAGTCCTCTAGTCTTGTCCTGCAGATCCTCACTGCTGACGTGAGGGATTCCAAGCAAAAGAATTGTAGCGAAAGGATGACGCTCAAACTACCTCGAAGTCTATCTCTTCCAGCTCACAAGTTGTTCCAGTGAAACTGCAATAACGAAGTTAGGAGCTTCGAACAGTCCAGCCAAACTATCAGTCGTCCTGCAAAGAATACTGTCAGAGCAACGCGAGTTTTACAGAGAGATTTTTCGCAGGGACCAGAACCCCCTCGACAGATGTGCCAAGACTGGTCATGGCTAACAACCGCCATGCCATGTCCTTCGGGGACCTTTTGGTGTTTTACTTTTCCGCTTCTGAGAGTTTCATAAGTCCTGCCGACGATCATTATCATCGCCCTCGGTTATACTTTAGCCCATTCTTCTTGAGCTGAGGAGGGTCCGGGCGGGCACTGCACTGTCGGTGGCAGCGTACACTAGACGCGGAGGTTCTAGAGCTCGCAACGAACGACCTCTGCTATCTCAGCGTCGACACATCGACTGCCTGCGGTCTTTGGAGTGTGAGCAGGCGGGAGATGGTCGATATAAATTCCGCTGCTGATGGTCAACCGCCACACTCAGCAGAGTCTTCGAAGACCGAGTGTTGCTGGTCGAGCTGAGAGCTCAACAGGCGTGTGGATTAGGGAGAACTGAGCTGTAGGAACTGAACTGAACTGAACTAAACTGAGCGATTCGAGCTGATGGCGACCATGGATCCCAGCAAAACCAAGGAGTACATGCTGGTGGATCCCAAGACAGGCGATGGGCACAGGGGATCGCTGAAATTCATGTATGATCTGGCACGAGGTAAGGGGAAATGGAAGGACAGTCGGACAGTCTCAGAGCTCGCCTTGGATGAAGATGAAACGAAGGATGATACAACATGGCAGCAGCGGATGTCTCTTCTTCTGTGCAAGCTCATGTGGACGATTCACGGCCCTTTGACGGCATTCGGAGCGGGTCTGGTGTACATTCTGAACTTGATCGATGCCAACGATGGCGTTTTCAAGACATTAGGCCGTGCCCTGGTTAATAGAAGTAAGTCCGTTCTCCTGAATGTTCAAAGTTCTCTGATTGAATCTGGAGTTGACATTTTTGAGTTTTTTTTTTTTTTTTTTAATTTTGAGAATATGTCAGAAAGCCTGCGGTACTACACCTTCAAGGATTCGAGCAAACCTGCTTAAAAACCTCCAATTGTCAATGATTGACGGAAGGATTTTCTTGGAGCAGGTGCGTTGGTGGTTCGAGACCCAAAGTCTGCAGAACACAAAACGTTGTTTGCAATTGCGGATCCACGGTTTGATCTCCAGGTGCATGCTCCTCCTCGACCGCGGACACTAAATGCAGCACCTTCAGCTGTCTTCTTTCCTGGTGAAGACTATGGGGCATTGGGCACAGCTGACGTGTCGATTATGGCTGCCAAACTTGCGTACGAGAATCAGGCCTTCATCGAGAGAGTCGTAACTGAAACCTGGAAGGTGAGCAAGAGTCAGTCCTAATGTTGTCAGATTTTTCTCTTGGTTTCAGATTCTATAAAACTTTGACGGTAGACCAGCTTTATGAGTTCCATGGAGTTGAATGGAGAGTAGAATGCAATAGAGAATACATCAGACTCTCTCTCCAATGCTCGTACCCTTCACTGCGAGGACGTGAGCCCGTCTTCTAACCATTTCTGTGCCCACGTACGCTTGTTCGATGTGCAGATGAATTTCGTGGGCTTCTACTCGTGCTGGAATCGTGAGTGACGTTTGCCTCTGCACCTCACCTCCTTGTAATTAAGCAGTAGAGCTAGATTGCCTGAAGGCCTAGAATCTGAGACCGATAAGCAGGAGCTACGAGCATAAGAAAATGCCGAAGTCACGGGACCTTTGAGGAATCCAGAACCCTCTAAGCTCGCTCGGCATTTCGGCTTCAATTTAAGTATCATTGCTGCGGATTCTTCAAGTGCTGACATTCTGATCATAATTTTTGGAACCGAAGTCACGTCACACTGGTCCGAGACGTGTCTGTCAGTGACAGTTCCTGATTCTGGTTCGATTTTACGCAGAATTCACCGGCAGGAGCGGCACACAGTTCTTCATTTTTACAGACCAGCCGAAAGATGCGAAGGCGATTGTGGTGGCCTGGAGAGGGACGGAGTCGTTCAATGGGTATGACTGGAGCACAGACTTCGATTTCTCATGGTACAAGCTCCAGGGTATGGGGTTGGTGCACATCGGCTTTTTGGAAGCATTGGGCCTCGTCGACAGGAACAGCATGGAGTCATTCACGAAGCTGGAGACCAATTGCGCAAAGGTGAGTAAAAGAAGCTCCCATCTCTCCTCTCCACATCTTCTCAAGAAAAAAAAAAACTTCTCGCATCATTGGCTGAGAAATATTCCGTCGGGTTTCTCGATGCGAATCAGATTCTTGGCTTCCATGATGACACCAAACAACTTCAACTCGAGGGAGCATTATTGTTTATGTCTCGGTCACGGTCAGCTCGATGATGCTGTGACAGATTTGCATTTGCCAGAGTATGAATTTCTTGTACGCAGTGGTCCAATGTTGCCATCTAATATTTGGATCTGAACAGGGTCGTGGTAAAGACTCGAAGTCAGGATTATCAGCCGAAGTTCGCAGGAATCGACAGCTTGCTTACGACAAGGCAACCGCTGTCGTGAAAGAGCTCATGGCTGCGAATCCAGAGGCCAAGCTGTTCGTCACAGGGCACAGTCTGGGCGGATCGCTGGCGGCTCTCTACACGACGCTCTTGTTTCACAGCAACGAGGAAGCAGCGACCAGCAAACTGGGAGCGCTGTACACTTTCGGTCAGCCGCGGGTCGGAGGACTGGATTTCTCGCAGTACATGATCAGCAAGATCGGCGAGAACAGGTACTGGAGAATCGTGTACCTGAACGACCTCGTGCCTCGAATTCCCTTCGACGACAGGCTCTTCCAGTTCAAGCATTCCGGCCTCTGCTACTACTTCGACGCTAGATATGGAGGAAAGGTGAGAGCATCCAGTATCTTGGCAACCCATCTCGAGCTGCCGATTGCCTCTGTCCTTGTCTCGCCCTTATGTTCGATTGTCACGTTTGCTGATTCGGCTCGTGTTTTTGGAGCTGTGCAGACTTTGGCGGAAGCTCCGAATCCCAACTTCTTCTCGCTGACGTCCATCGTCACCGATCGAGTTGTAGCTCTGTACGAACTGGTGCGGTCCCCGTTTTTCAGATGGTTGTACGGTCCGGAATACGCAGAGAATTTCGTGACCTTCATCGTCAGAGTGCTGGGCATCGTGGTGCCCGGCATTTCGTGCCACTTTCTCAACAACTACGTGAACGCTGTGCGCTTGGGCCCGTCGCCTCTTGTGGCCAAGCTCCACGAGGAGGTGCACGAAATCGAATCCTGGTGGTCCAAGAAGTTCCCCTGGTTCAGTCGCTCGCGGAAGACGCAGTAAGTGCAGAATCAGACCCTGTCTGCTTCTTCACTCTGCCTGTAATGGATCGATCTGGATCCCAGAGGTATAGCTCTTCCGACACTCACTCACTCACATTGACTGAACGGGAACGAGCCTCGAAAAGCATGGTCCGCTGATGGAGTGTCGGGCGAAGACCTGAAGACAGACATTTCTTTGAGGGTGGAAGATGCGGAAGGCATGAGTGAGATTCCACGACAGAAAGGAAGGAGGATGGATGCTGGCTAGCAGATCGATGCCCAGCAGCCAGGAGGAGCTCGAGATTGACGTCATATGGACTGCAGCAGCACTAGCCCAGCGCACGTGAAGATGAACGAAATGCATAGGCAGCTTGCAACTTCTAGAGCTGAATTCTCTGATGGTGGGTGTATAGTAGATGTAGATTAGCGTAGTGCAGTGGAGTTTGCTGCAGTGTACCTGAACAACGCGCAGGTAGTCGACTGATCATTAGTAGGCAGAGGATTTTTAGACTAGAGCTTAACTTCGTGAACTGTGAGCTTCGAGTGAGCTACGATGGTACTCCTTTTCTCTACCTCGCTCGACCACCACTCTTCCGCTTGGCGACCTCTTCTGTTCTCACGTCGTTGTTTTGTGTAGAATGTCGCCCTGGGTACTGTAATTACTTCAATGTTCTCTGATCAAAATGAAGACTTCAGGGATACAACGAGGACTGTAATGAACAGTCTGGAGATTGTTCTGTACATAACATGCTAATTGGGATACGAAGCACATTCAAGGCGATTGCCTTGAGTATCTCTCACGAGTGTATCGCTTACAGAAACAAAATGAGAGTGAAAGAAGATGATACGAATGTTGAAGATGGGGTACAAGTAGAATGGCGCCGTGAAAATCAAAAGACGAGAATCTGCAGCCTCAAAGGATCCCAGCAGTGTTGATGGTACTACACTACAAGTTTTGCGAAAGATGTGACAAGCGAGGAGAATATTACATGTACTGGCAATAACGGATGAGCTAAATACTTTCATGTACACGAATAAATGTAATTTTATAACATGGTTGTTGCTTCTGAATGGTGCATCGGGTCCAAGCAATCGTCCTATATTTCAAGTCGATAGAGTAAGTAAAACTGTCTTGAAACAAGCTCTAATCCTCGCCTCATTGTCTTGATTTACTTGTCAAAAAAACTACACTTATTACTTGGGAAATTTTCATTTATAAAAAAATCTCAAAATCTAACATATTTTTGAAGCTACCAATCTCGTGCAACTTTTATGATAAAATCCGATTTAAGTAAGTTCTTATTCAAGACGACTAGTAGTTCAGAAATTGAAATGTTTTGTTTCTATATCGGAGAGCGACTCGAACATAGATAGTGAAAGGATACTGAAGTTTTTGAATCTCGCGGTCCATTTGACTCAATTGTGTACACGTAGAGACAAACTCAAGCAACAAGCAAGCCATCAACGGGATATACACCTGCGTTCATGCTCAAGGGATAGTATACTCTACATGCTGTCTGTTAGTACGCAAATCGTGGATATATATACCCAACGCCTACCACCAATCTTAGTTATAATAACTAACTCTTTAACCGGAGTTAATCTTAACAATCTCCACCTTTAACTCGTGTTAAGTAATCTCAGTAATGTATATTGTTGTTCCGCTGAAAATTGTAAACAGAAACTTAACACAAGAATCATTTTTAAACAAGAGTTAACTAGAACCAAGTATTAGTCATAACATTATAAATGAATAATAAACAAAGTCAACTGAAAAATCTTACACTTAAAGAATCTCAAGAATGTTTCATAAAGATGATGGAAAGTTCTAGATGGAAACCTAATACAAATCACTCTTTAAACAAAAAATTGATTAGAACTAAGCCGTAACCATAAAAGAATAGAATAATAATATACAACGGCAACTCAATAATCTACTTCCCGTCAATCTTGACTCGTTCAATCACGTGATCAAAATCTCAATCACTACCAGTGCTACTTCTTAATCATTAATCACATAATGATCAAACTTCTTTACATCCATATTCGTGAGCAGAGATTTTCATTTGTGAGTATGGATCTTGAAAACTCTCCCTCTCTTTCAATGAACAGGTCTCATTGAAATACACACACCTATTGACAAGAACTTTACAATCTACATTGCCCGCAAATGACTATGCCCTCGACTTAATGCGTCCGCAACCGTTGCTCGCAACTATCCATCGCTCACAACTTACTGTCGCCCGCAACAAATGTTATCTGTGACCGTTGTTTGCAACTTACCTTCGTCTGCGACTATTGCTCACAATTAACTGTGATCCGCAACAAACGTTGTTTGTGACAGTTGTGACTGTAAACCCAGATCCTTTGACCTATTGCGTTATCATCTCAGCTCGTCAAAAATCTAAATACTAAAGTAACTTCCAGAGCAATTTTATCCATTTGGATCATCTTTCAGTTCCTGAAAATGATCCAAATGATTTAGTAACGTCGAGATCTTTCCAACAATATCCAATTTGCCTATATTCAAAGCTTAAATTATATTTCAAATAAAAAATGTTAAATTTTAACTTGATAGATGTTTCCATGAGTTTTGATTAATATTCATGTCATTACTTGGTTGAGAGTGTTTGAGTTTTTGATAGATTGAAAATTTTGATGACAATATTGAATACACAATTGATTTGGTTTGGGTGTGATTGATGTTAAATGTAACAAATTTAATTATTCTAGAGTTAGAAAATAATCCTTTAAATTCATTTAATGAATAATAAACAAGTAAGTGATAGCATAGAGCAGGTCAAGTTGAGTTTACTCTCAAGAAATGAAGCATAATATAATGTTCTTAACTTTCAAGGATTTTTTTTTTAAATCAAATATTATTTAAACATACATACTAATATTTTCACATAATTTTCAGTGAAATCATGAAAATTGTGAAGTATTATGCCATGATATTAAGTGTATGGCTAATAATTTTAAAATTTCAATGCATCTAAAAATTTGTAATGAAAAAAGTTACTATGATTAGAATAAGCAAAGAAAACCAAATTAGCATACTTTGTTTATATGATTGAACACTAAGAGTTTATGTATCACTTTGAATCTAAATAAATTGTAACTATTCATAGATTTATAAATATGAATCAAATTGAAATTATTCAAGAAAACATGTGTGATGACATGATACTCTTGTAATCCATTTGTGTGTAAAATTTTATGAATTATTTAAATGAAAAAAAAGATTAAAAGTAAAAATCATTTCTTGAATTTTTTTAAATCAAATTAATCATATTGTGTTTTTTAAGATCACATATCGTGAACTTGGTCAGATTATCATACATTCCCTGATAGAAGCTTGGCACATAGCTTGTTGAAAAACAATGATCAAGTATTAATTTATGCAAACTAATATACATTATATTTTAGTCATATGTATGACTACTTAATATGTGTACACTAATTCAATGTTCTTGCATCTCAATTATGAAATATTTTAAATCTTATTTATAATTTAAAAATTTACAATTGCAAGTAATTTTGCTGTCAATTACTTGTAAGAAATTTTATTTTTTTACATATATTGATTTTTTTTGAAATTTAGCATGAATTGAACAAAAACTTTTTCCGCTCATAAGTATGTAACTGAAATTTAGGCCCATAACCATAGTATTTAATTGTTCAAAGCTTTGAGGTTTTCAACAAGCTTAATGCTTTATGTGATTCATTAATATTCTATTACATCTTACTATCTAGGAGAAAAATTTGTACTATAGATATTTATTTTTTAATAGATTCAAACATATTCATTGTAAGACCATAATTGAAATTAGGTTTGTTTGAATTATCAAAAAATTTATTTGATAGTTTAAAGCCATAAATATGAAATTTTTAATATAATCATTTAAAATATCTGATAATAATTAATATCAAAAACCTACAAGTGTGTAATAAAAAATTTTGAATATTTTTATTTTAATCAATTCAAATTATTCAAAAAAACCGATCAATTTTTCTTTCATTTTATAATTAATAATTAAATATAACAATAATTCTTTAAAATTTTTAAATTAACAAAATTTAGAATAATTATTTTCATTGTTGCGATCAATGCATTTTTGTAATTTTTTAATCGTGAAAATAAGTTGAATAATATTAATTTTTAAGATAATATTTAATTATAAATCAAATCAAAGCACACTCTAAATTTAAATTTGAACTCAATTCCATAAATACATAGAAAATTGAAAATATTTAATTATTTGTCTTTAAGTTATGATAAATTTTTCATTCAAATAAATAAATCATTCTAATATTATAAATTATATTTGAGTAAATCTGATTAAAAAATAAATTTCGTGTTAAAAGTATTCTACATTTAAATTTTAAATATTTGAAAATATCAATAAACATATTACAAACTTAATTCAAATGTGAAAATGAGTCACATTATAATTTCATTAATAAATGATATTAATTTCGACATGTTTGTAATGAGATCTAAAAGTACAACAAACTTAATATGTATTTAGGTTTAAGAAATAATAATGATATAAGCTTTTGTAATCTTAAATAAAATTGAAGTTCATATGCAATAAAGCCATTAAAATCTATATCCAAAACCTCCATTCTTGCTTCACTTCGCAGTATGACATAAAAAAGTTCAAAAATCTCATATCATCAAATATAATAAACTAAACTTAGATCTGATTTAAATTCATATTTTAAAAATCTTGATTGTAATTTACAATCAGTTTCAAATACTTGATTTGTAAATTATTATATATTTTTAAATATATTTTATAATGTTTATACATATATTATATATCTAATATAATTTACATAATATAATTGTAGCAATTTGCATGACAAAAAGTCTTGGCATATGTGTAAAAACATTGAATCAAGGTAAGAATTATATTGCCCATCAATCTTTTTTGTGATCTTCAGTAAAATATGACAGCACAACAGTCACACTAACTACAATTTATTTTCTTCAACACAATTGGATAAGGCGAGTAATATTTTTTGTTTAGCGAAGATTGATTTGACCCATAGCATTTTTCCAAGCTTCAAGAGCATTTAAACAAAGTTGTGTAATGTATATATTAATTATTTGTGTGACATTATGCATATTATAATTAAAAACATAATTTTTTCCGATGAAATTAAGAAGATTCAAATTTGAAAGTTATACATAATAATTTATAATCATGTCAAAAGTTGTTAGAGTTTTTAAATCTTTCACTTAATAATAATTCAAGATATCATTTTATGCTTTGATATTATTTGAACTCTAGCATAAATGTTCACAAAATCATAACAATGACACACAAACGCAACCAACAAAAAAATTATATGAATTACCTAAATGAAGTCATGCATAGAAGAAGATAATAATGTTTTGCCAAAAAATAATAAGTTAACCAAAGTTAAATTGCAAGAATATATATGTCAAACATTTATAGATGCAAATAAGATATCCATACATATTGATAAATATAATAATGAAATAAAAATATTTGATGCTAATAAATAAATAAAAATATCATGAATTAATTTCATCATATATTATTATTTGAATAAAATTATCATGAATTAATTTCATCATATATTATTATTTGAATAAAATTATCAACAATTCGAATATTTTATAAGTTTTTAAAAAAAATTACTTTATACTTATTAAAATTCAAACAAACTTAGATGATTAATTTATTTCAAAAAAAAAATTAAATTTTAAATTAAATTAAATTATTACTAATGAGAATATTTACAAATTGTATTGAGAACCCAATCTTTTATTTTTTAACCCAGAATTGGTATTGGAACATTGATGATAGTGTTCTATAGGGATGTCTGGATAATCCATCCTATGATAATAACAATCAACAGTGTTTTGGATCCGAGCAAGTGCTTTGTGTTCCACAAGGGTTCATGTCAGCCTTAAACCTCCACGTTTGTCTGTTGTAGTCCAAATGGAAAGCTAAGATTTACATGTAATTGTTTAGCTTAGCACTTAAAAA